AGTCATGTTAAGGATACTGATTTTTTTAATGCTCAAAATAACATCCTAATTTCTTCAGGCTGAACATTCAATTTAAACAAATTTTGGGATCAATAACATGTATAGATCACATCACTAGATGATGAAAGAACAAAAAGGTAGGGAAGAAATTAATGTTTGTAGTCAATGAGGCACCAGACACACATAAGATGATAAAAAGAAAAAATCAAAGAAATCAGACAGACACAGGAATATGAACACACAAGATCATCCAATACTCTAGTAAGACGTACTGGTGGCAAGGAGGATAACAAAGATACAAGTAAGCAAGAGCACAAATATAACCATACAAGTACAGTATACAAATCATTAATTTTTACCAATTATAATTGACAGAAACCAATGTCTTAAAAAGCTAAAGGCAACCTCGAGACTTTTACTCTTGAAAGTGAGGTGCAAACCTCAATTTTAATTACAAGCACTATCCAGTATTACTAAACAAAATAGTCATACAAAGGTATGTCAGCTGCCACTTTAAACAAGAACTCTAAAAGAATATCAATACTAATATCATTAGCCTTAGTTTACAAATTTTTGGATTCAATGTTTTTAAAGTCCAACTAGTAAAAGTAGTAATTGTTCAAATTGTCACAACTCAGACGATTATATTATTTAAGAATGAGGCAAGTTAATATTATTCTTCTATTCATTGCATGAGGCAAAGATACTTTAAGCCTTAATGTGTTTTCATAGGGGCGTAAGCTTCCTATGGTCCAAAGAAGGCACGAGTCTCGAGACTAAAAATTGGAGTCATGCATCAAGGTATAAGCCTAACATATTGATAGAAACAAATATGTACAGAAAAAAGAACCCTCAAAGAATCCAAATGATACAGCACAAACATCCTAAAGACCAAAGATACAATACTCCTGATTCAGTGCATCCTAGTTATTTACCAGGGAAAACAAACCATAAACTCCAAAGTCCGACCTAAGAAGTTCCATTCAACATTCAAAATCAAATAAAAATAATCATAAAATGATCAATAATATAATCTAAATAGAAAAGATGAGTTACAAGATCCAGAAGAGAGTATGCTCCATCAACAACCAAAGAGAAGGATATGATAGAAGAGCTACATATTAAACTGATTGCATTAAGAACGTAAAGGTGCACTGTAATCTTTGTTACCTCGAGTGCACCATGCACAGAGCTCAATTGCTCAAACTCAACAAATCCAAAACAAAAACCTTGCTGCATGAAAAAGAAAACGTTAAAATAATAAAAACAAAAATCAGGTTGGAACAAAATAAAAGAAATTTTATTAGTATAGGACCTTATTACTCCTAACTTGGATACCATCACGCTTAATTGGCCCAAATTTCTTAAACTCTTCCTCGAGTTGTTCAACTGTAGCATCAAATGGCAAGTTTCGTACATATATGGAATGACCTTCAGCTGTAATCAGTATTAGCAAAATATTACATTTCAAAGAAACGTGAACAGGCCATCATGACACACCCAGAGCAAATAACAACATAAGCACTTTTAAGTTGATTTAATAATCTACGGTTGTTTTGCATTGCATATATAAATGCCCAACTAGAATGGAGTGCTAAAGAAAGGCACATATCAACATGAGCGCACACACACCTTCCTCATGAAGGTTACTACTTTCAGGAAGACTGTCACCATTTGCTGCAGAAACATCAGGAACTGGAGCAGGTTTAACAAGGCCAATCGACTGATGATCAGGATTTGCAGGGGGTGCTGCTCTTACAGCAGAAGTTGGAACATAAACAGGACCAGATACTGTCTTCGGCACCTTAACCTGAGTATGATTAAGTCAGCTGAGTAAATGTCTAAGACAAGATTGGCATAAAAAAATGCAGAGAGAAGAAAGTAATAACTCACAATGGATGCATACGACTTCTTTGGAGCATCTTCTTGGGCAACAGGGGCTGCGTCAGCAGTCACAACTACTTCATGTTCACTTGGACGTGGGGCTTCAACAACCTCTTCCTCTTCAATCACAGATCCTTCATCATTACTGGAAGGATCACAAACTTCAGGATCATTGTTCATATCTTCCTCTTCCACTGACACTGGAGGCTCCACAGTGAGATGATTAGGAGCATGAGATTGTTCTGTAAATGGAGCAGAGATCTATCTCACAATTCTGCAATAATGCATTAGAATAGTACCAGGACAAAAATATACACCTGGTTCTGGTGTTGATGTAACCGTTGTGATATTCTCTTTGATGGCATCACCCGATGAAGAGCTGCTTCGGGTCGGTTCAGTTTCTTCAACATATCTCAACACATCATTTAAGACATAGTAGCCTTTGTCCTGAGGAGCAAGAAAAAATGTCTGGGAAAATTTTCTCCTCAAATTGTCCTTGCCAGTTAGGCATCCTGTAACCAAAACAATCACTCCTTTCTCATGAGACTCCTGAGCATCAGCAGTAATTATTTCTGCTGTATAGTCTCCATAATTCATGGATATGATCTTGTCATTTATTGCCTGTCACAACACAATTTGAACTTTAATTGCCAAACATAAAATTGAAACCCGGAATCTCCAGACCATAAAAATAAGAAATGTTCATCAGTTACATCCTTCAAGTTCCTTCAATTCAGACCAATAAGAAAAATTCAGAAAAATGTTATGAAGATACATACAACTTCAATTAACTATGAACGAACATCAAAAATCCAAGCCCATTCTATGGAAACCAAAAATCACAACCATGATTACTATTTTGCCAATGTCTAAATCTTTAAATTAACAGGCATAGTTAGCGGACTACTGGTATCATAGCCATTCTGGAATTATGTCACAAACAGTACCTGATTACTATAGATAGATCATGTTTGTTGTAGTACTAATATAATTTTTATCTCACACATAATGCATGCTTCTTTTCAAAGCTGGGAATAAAAATTTGTGGAGATGATGTTGAATATAATTTGATTTTCAAGAGGATCCCCAGTCCCACAACGACAGTACATTATTACTCATTATAGTGATGGCCTGCGCTTACACATCCTGTGATCATTTTTATGCACTTACACAATCCAATATTTCAAGCATAAACAATTTTGCAACCAAACGTTCCAACAAGTGTCACTCATGTACCAATATCCCAAATGCACAATAAAGCAATGTTTCGGATAAAAACTAAAATGCATGACCACAAGATTGGTACAACTTCATACGTATCCCTGGCTCCAAAAAACACAAAATAAATAAAGGTAGGATAACTATTCTCCAGCCATGGAATGTGTAGCAATATCGTGGATATGCCGAAATAAAAAAAGTTTACCTGCATGCTTGTCACTGTTGTCATCACTCCATTGACATCTGGACGGCTTAGCAAACTCGAATCCTGATAGAACCGGTGCACCAATTGTGGAGAATGATGAAGGATGTGATAGTACTGCCCAACAAACGCATTCCCAACCACTTGGGCACTGGGAGCAGGGGAAGAACTGGCTTCCTGTGTTGCCGCCATCTACAAGACAATTTAGAGCATACTATGAGCATAGCTCAATGCAGTGAAACATAACCAGTACCAGAAAGATCACCAACAACCTTTGTAGGCCTAATAGACATGTGACTGAAATATAACAGAAACAATAAATCTATATTTTACTTTGTTAAAAAAAACCTACAAGAAATAATAAAAAAATTGAGTAGCCAGCCGACATTTAGGGATCGCTTAAGCAACATTTCTTTAGGGTTTTATATATCAAATGAAACTGAAAAATCAAGTAAAACCTCAAAAAGTTAATAAACAAAAAATCAGTAATGCGCTCTTCCAACAACTGACTTCCTCTACTTCAATCCCTCAAACATGCACCTAAACGTCAGAGAGGGCTTGAAAACACATGCAAAAACAGTTAGATTCTACACAATACTTGCTATAGACGACCACGCAGTAGACTAGTACGACGATACAGGTGAGAGTTGAAAGGAATCTGTGCACGACCAGAAAGCCGACGAGCGAAGAGGATAGGGGCAAATCGTCGGCGAATCGTCCAAAGTACAGTAATGGATAGCCAATGGTTTACGAAAGCGCTATGCCCTAAACGAAAAAAAAAAATAACAAAAATAAAGCCCCACAAAACCCTAACACAGACAGATCATATACATATATATATATAGAAGAAGAACGTGATTGACCGAAATAGGTAATTATCAATGGATCATTCAACAAATATTTGGCACAATATTACAGATCAAGTAAACAGAATAGAAACCACGACATTGAAGTAAGTAGAAGGAGAAAAAACCAAGTACCTGCTTGAAGGCAGAGAATCGAACTTCAGAGAGAGATCTGAGTGCCTTGAAAACGAGTAGAGAAAATGAAACAGAGAGAAAAGATTCTGAGCAGCTTTATATCATTAGGGTTTTTGAAGGAAATAAATAGGTAATAGAAAATATAATCTCTTTTTCAAAAATTTAATCTCTTTATATCATTAGTTTTAGGTCAATTTTAATATTTAATCTTTTGTAATTTTTTTTTTCAAAAAATACGATAAAATATTATTAAAATAGTTATTTATAAAAATCATACGGATATTCATTTTTATTCCACATAAATAAATTTTTATTGTAAAAAAAATAACCAATACCTATTTAATTTAATAAATTTTTATACATTAAGATGACGATAATTTTTTATATATTAATATAATTAATGTATTATCTAAGTTATTTTGGCAGATAAAAAAATTTATAAAATTTAATTTATTTTTAAACAATTTTGTTAATATATATTTTTTTTTTTAGTGGAAGGATATTAAGTTAATAAAAGTTTTGAAAGTTAATAGGATATATTTAAAATTAAATTTTTATTATTTTTAAAATTTAAGAATATTATTGAAATTTAAAAAATTAATGCTATTTTTAGTAAAAAAATATAAGATTGAAGAATATTCAATTTACTAATTTTATCTTTAATTAATTTAAGGATTTATTTATTTATTTATCTATTATTGTTTAGATAATGGATTGATTTATCGGAATTCAATTCGTTCGTCTCCTCTGCCGCTCGACGGAAGAAGATAACTGGATCTGGCGGGAAATTAGAGCTCTTCGCATTGTCCTGACGGTATCGAAGGTGAACTTTTGTTGTTATGAACAGAGTTTCTAGGTGTGTGTTTTGTATTTGTAGTCCACATCTTTTTAGTTTTGTTTGTACGTCTTTGAATTATGTTGTAGGGTGTACAGATGAAATCTCATAGCCAATCGGAATTTAAAGCAGTTATCTAATAGCCACAGCTTTCTTTTATGCGGATTTGGATTGTTTAGGTGCTCTGTATGTTTGTTTCTGGAGTTTGTATTTGTCGGGTAGGTGTAGGCGGTTGGAGTTGTTATTCCGTATACTTCTTTAAAATGTAATGGAGATTTAGCCACTGCTGAAGACTTGGGTTACTGAGCTGTTTTGATAATGACTATTATACATACAGAATGTATGATTGATTGGACACGGGAATGAATACTTAGTGGTTCTTGGAATGAATGCTTAGTGATGTGAACTGCAAGTTGAGTCTGGTGACGATTCTGGTGATGATCGTTGGGAGAGGAGTCCCATGTCGGTTAATTAAGGGGTTAATCATGGGTTTATAAGTAAAGGAATACATCTTTATTGGTACGAGACCTTTTGGAGAAACCAAAAGTAAAACTAAGGGAGCTTATGCTCAAATTGGACAATATCATACCATTGTGGAGGTTCGTGATTCCTAACAGAGTCAAGAGACAACAATGTTATGGCTCTTTGGTTGGTGGCTTGGTGTTTTGCCAATTTGTGCCCACCGTTATTGCTTATGAGTTGTCAATCCTAGCTTTTTTGAGGGAACTTAATCTTAAGCCTCAATTTGATTTCATACCAGTGTAATTTGGATCATGCTTGCATTTATCATGGTTTTTGAATTCTTTCAGAACATGTGATTCTTTGTCTTAATTCTTGAGCTCTTATATTTCTAGCCCTGGAGCTGGGGCTCGTGGGTGATTGATTTAGCCGTTTTTTTTTTTATCATTTACTTGTGAGTTCCACTTTTTCTTTCAACAAATTAGATTATCAATATTCATTCTCTATGCTTCACAGGTAATCTTGTTTGAGGTTTTGTTTCATTGATTAGCACCTTGCATTAGAGCCATGGTTGTTATGTTCCTTGACCATGAAGCTCTCCGCCTTCAATATGCTGTGTGGGCAAGGATTAAACCTGAGAGTTCAGAAACAAAAGGTGCAAGACAATAGGATTAGTCATTTTGGTACTGGAAAGACAAATATTTTAGAACATTCATTTTCTATGACCCATCATCGTGTTGTCTATATGGGACTTTTAAGCCAACATTTTGTTGAGAATTATTGAGAGGAGTAGTCCCGCATTGGCTAATTAAGAGGAAGATCATGAGTCTATAAGTAAAATCAAAGTCACAAGAGCTTATGCTTGAAGTGGACAATATCATATCATTGTAGAGGTCGTGGTTCCTAACACATTTTAATTATAAATTTCCATTAACCTTCAAATAGGAGGTATGTACCATGTATCTTTATAGACAAGTTTATTTAGCGGTTCTGATGCAGAAGTTGGATGTTTATGAGTTCACATGGCAGAAGATACTACAAACAACTATGAGAGACCAACCCAAAACATTTAATTAGATAGGGCACCGTCATGTCAAAAGTTGTCATATGGCTTTCTGCTAACAACAGATATCTATACTATCAAGGTCGGTTCCCTTTACCTGCATAATTAGATCCAACAAAAGGCAGCCTAGCAATGTTATTGACTTAGTATGCTGTTATTGCTTTAAGAAAACGTGTGTTTTTCTCGTTGGAGTTTCTTTTCTCAATTATTTACCATTTTACTTGTTATTAGGTACATACAGTAGTGGAAAAGTAACCCCTCTTCACTTATTGTTCTGTTGCTCTGCCTTTTGTTTGGTCGCACTTGAGATAGAATTGTTATTGTAGTTGAGAGGTGTTAAAGAGTTGGGTTATGGTGCTCGACTTCATTAGAGGCTAATAATAACATCACATTTTGCATATTTGATTGATTACGTGAGATCTCGCCTCGGTTGGATAGGGGAACGAAGCATTTCTTATAAGGGTGTGGAAATCTCTCCTTAATAGATGCGTTCTAAAACCGTGAGGCTGATGGCAGTCTGTAATGGGCCAAAACGTACAATATCTATTAGTGGTGGACTTTGGCTATTACAAATGGTATCAGAGCCAGACACTGGGTGGTGTGCTAGCGAGGACGCTGGCCCCCCAATGGAGTAGATTGTGAGATCCCACGTCGGTTGGAGAGGGGAACGAAGCATTCCTTATAAGGGTGTGGAAACCTCTCCCTAGTAGACGCGTTTTAAAACTGTGAAGCTGACGGCGATACGTAATGGGTCAAAGCGGACAACATCTACTAGCGGTGGACTTCAGCTGTTACAGATTCCATTTGTTAATGACTGTTTTTACTTGAATTCCTAATATAACAGCAAGAAAACCTGCGTGGCTTATCTACTTGTCTATATATTATGATAATCTTGTCCGAGTTAGTTTATGTACATTTCGACCAATCTCGAGGCAGCTGCTTATTTGTATATTGGAAACCTCATAAAATTTTCCATATTAGGTGAGGATAAGTGATTTGAATTCATAACTTACAAAACTTCCTTAGTTTTCCACTGGTCCTTCTGACTGTTACTCCCCAACCTATGTTGGTTTGTGCTTGTCTATTTTGTATATGTTGGTTTATGCTTGTCTACGATTTCAAAACATTTTTACTAGGGAAAGGTTTCCACACTCTTATAAGGAATGCTTCGTTCCCCTCTCTAACCGATATGGGATATTATGGTCTCTCACTTGTGTGCTATTTTCCAGCTCTAAATCTGTGCTAAAAGAGTCATAATTGCTGTATCTTAACTGACACAGTTGTTAGTTTTCTGAAAAGAAAAGAAGAGAAAGGTAAAAGGCTACAGAACTAATGAGAATGGAGGCAAGTTTCTGTTTACCGACATCGATGGCCATCCCCTTCAATCGTACAAATGATAAGTGTGAACTCTATGATTGACTTTGATAACTTTACATCTGATCCTGACATGATTTGTTTTGATGGTTCATCTTCAGTTTAATCATTTGAGAGAATGAAAGAAGTTTGCTTGGTTATGAGGATTCCAAATAAGTGGGTTGATGCCAAATATTACATTCCTAGAAAGTTGACGTCCAACCAACTCTGGGGTCATTTAAGAGCTTGACGGTACGGTTCCAACTCCACTGATGTAAGAATCCCTTTTCATTGTTATCATCAGAAGCTTTATATGTGTGGAAGATAATGCTTTGTTCATCCTGGGCTTCAGTTTCCACCTTCTTTGTACTTGTTATGATTCTTGGTATTTAGTCTATAGATCATCTCCTTTGACAGTTCATTCTTTACCTTCTTCTTTCTTGTTCTCTCTGTGTCTCTTTTCCCCACCTGTGAAAGATAAATAAACGGCTTAAACCTACCACTAGTAGATGTTGTCTTATTTGGGTTTTTTTTTTTTTCAGATTTTCCCTCAAGGAGAGATTTTCACACCCTTATAAAAAAATGTTTCGCTCTTCTATTCAACTGATGTGAGATCTCACAATTCACCCCCTTCGAGGCCCAGCATCTTGGGCGGCACTTGTTACCTTCTCCAATCGATGTAGCCCAACGTTTGCTGACACGCTACCTCATGAATGAGTTCAAAGTTAGAACGGTCTCTGTTTCCTTGGCAACAAAATGTAAAAGATCAAACCGTTGCCCTTTGAAATTAGTCGAGTATAATACATATTGGAGATCAGTTCTAGTATCCCTTTGAAACTCATTTATTTTCGGTCTCAACTTGTTTCATTGTCTGGGTTTAGCATAGGTTTCTGCTCAGCCTAGAAGAAACTTAACCAAATGGCTCAAATAACACTGTTCTTTGATCTTTATTTGGAGTTTTGGAGTATTAATAATTGATTCTCCACATTAAATGTCACTGCAGAAAATTCTGACATTTACTTTTTCCCTGTTGCCAATCATCAAGGAATGGTTTACTCAACCAAGGACCTTACTCTTCTACAATTAAATTATATTCCAACAAGAAAACCCAAATTCACAAAACATATCATTTTTAGTGTATATATAAACATAACCCATTTGTTAAAAAATACTTATATCATTGGCTTCTCATTTACTTCTTTATAAACGTTTCAATTTGGCAGAAGTTTCGATATGGTGGTGGCGTACAGTGACTACAATCGAAGGAACATTATTCAAAATCAGGAACATTATTCAAAATCAAGGAGCAAATGTAAATATTTAAATTTGGGTAAAAGTGTAACATTTTGAAATTCAGGAACAAATCAAAACCAACTCGATCCAAAACTTAAAGACTTAGTAGACCCTTCATTCTCTTTGTTCTAAACTGCAATTTTGTTGGGAGTTCAATAATGGGCGGAAATGAGACTAATTTTGATAAGAATTACATGGCTTAACTAGTTTAGAGCTCTTTGAACACATTTGTGTTTTCATTTCTCGTTTCTTATTTCTCAAAATTTCAAAAAAACATTAAACAAGTCTATTATATCTTGTTCTTGATTTTTTTTGTTTAAACAAATTAATAGGGTCTTAACTCTCTTTTTTTTTTTTTTCGTCCAAAAAAGTCGATATTTTGTCTAATAGTCCCTGAAGCTACTTATCGTTTTTTTTTTCCACAAATTTATTAAGCACGGAATTAAAAGCCTAAAATTTAATTGGACAAAAAAAAAAATCAAATTTACATCTAATAAATCCACAAATTGCTTATTTAAAGTTGAAAATTGAAACAAAATCTAATAATTTTGGGCAATAGAATGCACGAAAACCCTCCAAAAGTGCTTCCAGAATATCATTCATATATATATATATATATACACACATACAGAAAGAACAATGACAGGGGTAAGCAATATTTTGATTCAGTCCACATTTATTAGTTTATTGCATCAAACTGGGAGTCTTCCACTGCATAATTATTTAGAATATGATTCAAAGTTTTCAACTTTTTGTTGAAAGGAACCATTGTTGATACTCACAGTGAAACCCTATCAATTAAGAGCCTCTGTCAGCTGGTAAAAGGGACCATTCTTCTTAATTTTCTAATTAAATTTCATCAACTTTTCATTTTTATTCATAAATATGAAATAAATTCAAAAGGGTATTCATTATTTTATTTATTTTTTTTCAAGTTCAATGGAGATAGAGATATAAAGAAAGGGCTCAGCTTTTTGACTGTCTCTCCCAATTGTTGTGTCTCCATTAATCTCTTCAATTATTTTGCTTTCAAAATTCCCCATTTTGTCCAATCCATCATAGAACTACTCAAAACAACATCTCTTCTCTTTCTCTCTCTAAAAGGCCTTTGGAATGTCATCTTTTGAAGGGTTTAAGGTTTTTTCTTTTTCCTTCATGGCTCCCCATTTTGGTCGTGTCAACTTTGTGATGTACTCTTGAGCTGCATATTCATGGTGGGCTAAGCTTTTGGTTGCTGTACTTTTAGGGTTTGTTGGCTTCGAGAACTCGAGCCGTGACTTAACTGACAAAAGCTAGTTTGATCTATGTAGTCGTCTAAAAGATCAAATGTTTGAAGGTATATGCTCTCAACTAAGAGTGACTTCTAGATGTACTCGGGATTGTGTTGATTAGTTGAATGAGTGGTTAAAGGCATTTCTATATCTCTAAACGAGCCATATACGGTATGGTTTGGATTCACACGTCGTATTCGTGACGTTAACATTAAGATCGTAAATTTTGATTGAAAATTGAAAGATTGATAATAAATACAAAATTCAAGTTGTGCTGCTAAATCTTACTGCCACCATATCTCTATTGCATGCCTGTGGTCCTTTTTGGCATTGAGTTGGATGCCTTTAAATTAAAAGAACCTACATTGGTCCCTCATCTACTAAGTTTTGGGAGTTTCTATAGCTTTCTATCTTCTAATGCCTTACTCACCACACCTTTTGCTAAGGGAAAAAAAACCCTAATTTTTCTTGCGTAAATCGAGTAGTTTATGCCATCCCGAAACCCTAATATCAATCTCGAGGGGCAGTTCGATAACAATTTTGCTTTTAGTTGGCTCGTTTTTACGTGACATTTAAAATTTTGGAGCTCAAGATTCAGAAATGACTTTTAAAAGTTGAATAGTTGTTTACATTTTTTTTGAAGAAAACAAACCCGAGAATTTTAAACGAAACCCATATTGAATTTTAACACAAAATCAAATCTTGTGAAAAATAATTGCAAAAAAATGAAATTTTTGTATGCTAAAAGGTAAGAACAATAATTAGGGTTCTTGATATTGAGTGTCTTTTCTTTTGGATATGTGTAGCTAGGGCATGCATTGTTCAACTCATGATGTATTAACCAAATCAATAAAGCTGTTTGTAAATGCTGAAAAAGGCTACCCCTTTTACTTTCTTTCTTGGTTTAATTTGAATGGTCCCCATAGTAACTTTGTATAATTTTTTAGTGATGAGTTAATATATTTATACCCTATACTAATGGATAATTAATGAATCGAGTCGTAAAAATAGGAAAAATTATTCAACCGTTCTACGTAGATTCTAAAATTTATATGCTTCTTAAGAACCATTAGATACAAACTCGAGATAATCGACTTCTCTTTCATACATCCAACAGTGCAAAACTATCAGTCATAGTGACATTGTTCTTGAATATCAATTCTCGAAAACTCGGGTGGATTTGTAGCCTTTTTGTAACATCCCAGACCCACCGCTAGCAGATATTGTCCTCTTTGGGCTTTCTATCAAGGCTTTAAAACGTATATACTAGGGAGAAGTTTCCACACCCTTATAAAAGAGTGTTTCGTTCTCCTCCCCAACCGATGTGGGATATCACAATCCACCCCCTTTCAGTGCCCACTGTCTTCACTGCTACTTGTTCCTTTCTCCAATTGATGTAGGACCCCCACCAAATCCACCCCCCTTTGAGACCCAGCATCCTTGCTGGCACACCGCCTCGTGTCTACCCCCCTTCGGGGAACAGTCTCCTCGCTGGTACATCCCCCAGTGTCTGACTCTAATACCATTTATAACAGCCTAGACCAACCATTAGCAGATATTGTCCTCTTTGGACTTTCCATCAAGGCTTTAAAACGCGTATACTAAAGAGAGGTTTCCACACCCTTATAAAGAGTGTTTCGTCCTCCTCCCCAACCAACGTGAGATATCACACTTGTGGACATACGCATCAAGATGAGGAAACCGTCATTCGTGCTCAGTCTATTTTGTAAACGTGTCGTCAAAAAAGCTCGTGCCACGTGGTCGAAAACACACCTTACCTTTTCCTTTTCTATCCTTTGACATATAGGCAAGATGGGAGAGGTTAAATAAATTCCTGTTGGCATCTTCTTTGCCTTTACCCATCACACTGTCATTTCTTGTGTTAAAGCTTTGATCTTTCTTCTTCAACCTCCTCTTGATTTCTGGTCACACCTTCAAATGTAAGTTCATCATCCCCTTCTTTTACATCTATACATGTTCTTATATTTCTTCAAGGCTTCCAACAAAAACCCTAATTTTTTCTTCCAGATTTAATTTGATTTTTTTTTGAAGATTGATTGATTGATTCAAGAAGAATGAAGAAACCATAAAATTCAAACATGTTGAGAAACTCAAAAGAAAAGGGTTTTGAATCAAAAGAAGAAGGAAAATATAGGTTCCCCAAGGCTCCAACAAGCTCTAGGCAATGGTCAGGGTTTAGAAACCCAAGAATTGTGAGAGTTTCTCGTTCATTTGGTGGCAAAGATAGACATAGCAAAGTTTGTACCATTAGGGGCTTGAGAGATAGAAGGATAAGGCTATCAGTGCCTACCGCCATTCAACTCTATGATCTTCAAGACAAGCTCAAACTTGGCCAACCTAGTAAGGTCATCGACTGGCTCCCCGACGTCACCAAGCTCGATATCGACAAGCTCCCGCCGTTGCAAATCCCAACCGGGTTCTCTCCGTTTCACCAACAGATGCTTTTCCCTCCATATGATCATCATCATCATTATTCTTCTTCTTCTTCTTCTTCTTCTTCTTCTTCCCAATTTTGTAACTCGCTCCCTCCGCCCTTCGCCGTCGACATGAAAGGCGATTCTATCGAGAAAACGAAGATTTGGGATATGGATTTAGCGTTACAAGGAAAAGCTTCTTCATTAACCAAAGGGAAGTGGATTGATGGAAGTAGTAATCAACATGTAGAAGATTACAATTTTACACCTTACAATACTTACAATTCTTCTCAATTTGGGAACAATAATGGAGTTTTTCCATCACAAATTGAGGCTCCAACGAGTTCATCTTCTGCTTCTGCACTCTTCTTTACACCCTATGCTTCATATATTACCAACCCATTTGAAAGCCATATCCATTTCTTGAGCTCAAATTCCCATGCTTTGTCCAATCCCTTTGTGCCTTCAGCTCTCCACCCTTTTGCTTCACAGAACTTGAAACCCTTTTCAGCTGCAAGCTTCAACTTCAAGCAGCTTCTTCATGCAGCTGACGGTAATGGCACCGACCGCTCCAATAAAGATGGGACGGCTGGTGACTCATAGAACGCCCGAGGCAGATAGGGACGGAGCGAGGAAGGAAGGAGAGGAGAATTATGTATCCCTAGTTGTTCATCCTTGGAGGAAAAAGGTATTGTAAGCTATATTCAATTAGACATGCAATGTAATGTGTTAAACGCTTTTGGATTCTTCAAAATACAAGTTAGAATGCAAGCTTTGTTGAGAAGAGCTTGTAGCATGTTATATATTGATTAATTAAATAGATTGTATGTTGATTTACTCCTAGAATGTTAGCTATTTTATGTTATATTGTATGTTAGGATTGTTGTGGGAGGGAGTCCCACATTAGCTAATTTAGGGAACGGTCGTGGGCTTATAAGTAAAGAATACATCTCCATTGGTATGAGACATTTTGGGGAAACTAAAAGCAAAATCTATAAACACATTTAGCATGTTTTTGGAAGGTTTGAATGGATCAAAAAGGAGAAATGGATTGAAATTGTGATGAACACAGAACAATATGATGGGTTAAGCTTGTGGAGAGGCTACTAGTTTGTTGATCTACAATCAGTCAATGAATTTTTCCCCTGACACTTGGTTATTTTGTTGTAACAAACAAGGAAAAAACAACAGAGAATCATCAAAGATGAACAGTTTCGAACTGTAGAAGACAGTAAGTGAGTGACATCTTTTGGTGCACATTTGATTGATTCCTCATAAATATTGTAGGGACAGAAAAGGACCAAAAGGCAAACCTTTGAAAACTGCGACATAATATTACATTATATAATATATATAGATATATATATATATATTGTAAAAATGGAAAGGCAGTGGAAGATTGTGCAGCAAGAAAAAGAAAGGAAGAAAAACGGGTAAGTTTCTTCTTTATGAGATTATGAGAATGAAAGATAATAATGTGTCTCTCAGGCAACAACATTGGTCACAAGATCCAAGACAACACTGGAACACATAAATTAATCCTAAATACATATATGTTTTGTTGCATTCGACCAATCCCCTCTCCACTGTCACTGTCCCCATCATTTTTTTCTTCTAAAAAAATGAAAAAACATATAATATGGTCCTCCTCTACGAGAAGAGAAGGTAGAAAAGATCGAGGGGTTTCAATACTTAATATGAACGATAGAATCATAAACTTTGAAATAGTAATTATTACTATTATCTTATTCATTAAACTATGTTCGGGTTGATAAAAAATGATATGTTCATGTGCTTAATTTAACCTTTACCTTATGAATCCCATTATAACTTTTTTTCAACAAATGTTTCGAGAGGAAGAGAAAACAAGCACAACTTTCGAGAACAAAAAAAACGTTACCGACGGCACCTGTCCTCTCGATCATTGCTTTAGCTGTGGCTATAGGCTTTTGGTTTGCATGCTGTGGGAGGCGCATGGGGATTGATGCCTTTTCCCATCTCATTATTCAAAATTGTGTGACCACTCACTCATTGTTTCCCACCTCTGCTGTGTTAAAAGAACAAAAGATTCATCATTTAGTGTTTTATGTTAGGCATGTATTGTTGTATTCTTTTAAAATGGCTGTATTTTAAACATATTTCTGTTCTGGCTCTTACAAAAACAGCCCCATATTTGTTGCAGGGGATCTCCTTTTTCTAACACAAGCAAAGAAAACTCAAAAGCTTCTCCCTTGAACTATGGCTTTTCCATTTGTTTACTCTACACTTTACTTCAGAAGAATAAATGAAACAAGTAACAGTTAGAAGTGCAGAAAGAGCAGAAGTTCATGTTTCACTGTAAGAAAGCAAATATCAAGGATGAAAAAACAGTAAGAATGCAAGCAAACTAGCCATTGTCAATGCATACTATATGCTTTATTTTGCCTCACCAAGTATTTGACATCGATTGCTCGACATCTAACACAATATCATAAACGTTACCCCGATAATCTGTCCAACTCCTTGATTGACGCATGCAGAATGCTTTTTGAGCCATCCTTGTCTTGGTCGAAGTTGTTGCATTCAAACTTCTTAAGCTTGAAACTGTTCTATTTCATAACATTTGTTTCAAAATATTTTGCCCACCAAGGGCTTTCTTTGCGATCTTTGTTGGTGTCAACAATGGCTCAGGAGCACCCCCTCAGAAAGAGCTAATTTTTCGATAAGTATCTCATTTACAGCATCGAATATGAGCTTGGGATGAATTTTTTCCCTGTTTGAAGAGAGGAAGCTCTTGCAGGGCTGAACCCTTCTTTTGATGGCAAGCCACCCACCTGGGTAATTGTGGTAGAAACCACAGAATCAATATTTCTTGGTATCATATGCAAAAGCCTGCAATGAGTTGGAATATTCAGGAATTCTTCACTTTTACATCAACAGAACAAATCAAATTCCTGCTGACGAGAGCTTCTATATATAATGTCTTGAACTCAAAACCTGAACAAAGAAATTTAAGAGAGAGATGGAAGTATAGCATATAAGTCAGATAGCTTTGCAGAGATAACCCATAAATCCAAAGATATGTGAGATAACCAAGCATTGCAGAGTTCAGATTTAATCTTCATAATCGTCGAAGTACATTGCAAAAGTGTCCTAAATGAATCAAACTACATCCTTGTCATAACATCGTGCTACGAATCTTCCATCCCCATGTCAGAAATAGATTTCAGCTACCAGCAGTAAAAGTTTCAAAAAATTACAAAATACAGGGCAATGTATTGGCTAGAGTAAACTGGATTTCTAGCTGTGTATCTCTAAATATTCTCTGTATGCTCGTAACCTACAACTACAAGAAAATATCTTTATGAAAAACGGTGAATATGTACTCACCGGATTAGTTTTCAAAATTTGCCACAAAGAAACATGAAACTAATGAAATGTGTAGAGGGGATAAAAGGCTCTTCTAATCTTGCAAGACAAGCAACGGTTATCCAAATATGGCAGCGGATGATGAACTACTATATAGCAAATAACCATGTGAACCAATCTTAAAAATATGGCCACGTACTTTGTGAGAACTAATCATCAGCATGTGGGAATCCTGTCACGGAAATGACTCCAGAGAATAAGAGCTACATATACTTGGAAGTTAGAACAGACTTCATACTAGAGCCAATGAACACCTAAATCATCGTCGTCCCTTCTCATTATTTATAATCCTACGGTAGAATTTCCAACATGGACTAGATTCGGAAATGGGTTTTTGACCAAATGGATTCTGTTCAACATATTTTTTAACATTTTCTGCTGTAGATAAACCCTCCAAATAAGTGCGAAGATCACCACCAGGTCCTGTGGAAGACTAAATGTTAAATAATACATGGGAAAAGATTAACAGTAACCAAAGAAAAAAGAAAAAAGAAAAAAGAAAAAAAAAAACTGCGGTTATAGCAGGAACAAAAGATGGAATTTCCAAAGCCTGAAACGGATCCTTGGGACATGCATAATTGACCGCCCAGGATGGCTAAGAAACATTCAGGGGTCAGTATAGAGCAATTCCATTTCGTAGAAAATTGATATTCATGTATATTTCAAAAATCATCTTAATTTTAATCTAAAAACAAATAAAATTTTCATCAAATGAAAAATATTTCATATGCATTTGAAATGAATCTGTGACACTTGGAAGAGCATTTCTTTCAACACTTAGTGTAAGACGTTACTATTCATTTATTGTACATTTCATTTAGTCAGTGACATTGTTTCTCAACAACAACAACAAGAACAATGGTGCAATTTCATCATAGATTTTGTGTAGGTTTTTATAGTTGAAGAGAAACAACAAAATAATTTTAAAAAAAAAACAAAACAAAACATCCTACACTATTCTTCAACTGTATATAACAATTCACCTAAAGCTTCAGCTTCTTATGCATGTGGCACTTTTTTTTTTTTT